GGTGTGTGTGTGTGTGTGTGTGTGTGTGTGTGTTATTTTGATTATGTTATTTGAAGTCATGGGGTTGCACCATTCCATTTTAGGGATTCTGGATTCTGTAAAAGTAGAGGAAATTAGACATGCATTAATTACGGCCCTCTACATCCTGACTGTAGATATAATGAAGTATCTACCACTGTGACTTCCTGTCTATGGTGGACTGTTTGTAACTTGGAATTGTGAGCTATTTCAACTCTTTCTCCCTTACATTGCTTTGGGAGAATACTACAGAAATAGAAAAAGAAACTAAGACACACACCCAGATGCAAGTCAGGCTCTGGGTTGCCACAGCCATATTCTACCACCACCTCTTCCTTTCCAGGATGACTTTATCTCTTTAAAGTGTAAGCTAAAGAAAATCTTTCCCTCCTTAAATCCCTCCAGCATTTCATCACAACAACACACAAAGTCTCTAATATATCAAATAAATTATCTAAAGTTCTCCAACCTGTATATGAGAAGGGAAGGATTTAAATTGCATCACACGTAGTATAATTTAGCATGTAAATTCAGAAGGATGGAAAATTAAAATTTCTTATTATGCAAAGGATTTACAAGGATTTGGTACTAAAAGTGTTTCATTCCTTCCATTATAATATTTAGATTTCTCTTTCAGTACTTTGTTAAAAGAAAAACTGTAGACAAATTAGATGTAGTGTATTCTATTTGAGCAAAGAATAATCCATGAGCTGGGCAGCCCCTTGAAGCTGGAAAACTCTGCTTGTTGCCTGCTGGTGAATGGTGAAGCATGCAGATTGAAAATTATTTTGGCAGTGTGCTTAAGATTCTTGTGATACTGAATTATATTAATAGTTCTAGGAGCACGAACCAGATGAAGTTTTATTATTAGAGGAAAAAGCCCTTCTGTGACTGTTTATTAAGTTGCCAGTTTATGTTTTCCAGATGGAATGGATCTGAATGCCATTGATAGGCAATGCCTTTGACTACAGTAATCCACTTTAACTGTTCTACAACTTCTCCAGTGAAATGAGTACCCCTATTGTTAGAGACTACTCTAAAAGAACAAGATGGGAACTGGGCACTGGTGGTGGTACATGTCTTTAATCCCAACACTTGGGAGGCAGATGCAGGTAGATCTGTGTGAGTTCAAGGCCAGCCTGGTCTACAAAGTAAGTTCCAGGATAGTCAGAGCTATTACACAGAAAAACCCTGTCTTGAACCCCCCCAAAAGGAAAGAAGGAAGAGAGAGAGAGAGAGAAGAGAATGAGGATGAGGTGTGGCACTCTGGCCATGCCCTATGAGGCAAACACATTTTCCAGTAACCTTTAAGTTGTTATCACACTATCTGCTTTCTCACAGTTGGTAACCCTAGAAAACACTTACTGAACATGGAAACCAAGAGGAATTGATCTGTACTTTTCAAAGCATTAAGCAGATGTCAGACTGTGTCAGCTGAAGTTTTGTTCCTAACCTGAATTATGGGTTTGACAAGTGAAAACTTGATTAACTACTTTAGAATTTTGAGACAGTTACCTCAACAGTGTTTTCATAGCTTAGGTTACCCACTCCATGATCACTCACAGGGTGAAGAGCTTTTATCAATGGAAGATTTCCCAGCAGTACAGGCCAGGCAGCCAATCAGGTGCTTTGCGAGTCCCTATCTAACACTGCAGACACCTTCTGAGAGCATGCTTGCTTCTTTCTCCATCCCAGGGAACACAGCACTGGTTATCCTGGTCAGCATGACTTGGGTCAATCTTATAAAGTTCATATAAAAGTTACATTTCTTAACAGTTCCACAAGTTTTGAGTCATTGTGAAGACTACAAACAGTTTACCTGTTAACTAATTCTTGTTCTGTTTGGTGAAGGGTTAACAGTTTTACAAACCAACCAGCTTCTAGAGTAGAATTTGCAGATTCTCACCCAGGCCAACAGAATGCTCATGACCATGTCATGTCAGAATTCTTTTTCCATGAATCTGCTAGAAAATGAAACACTTCATAGTTCTCGTAACAACATACAAGGCAAGTAGGAGAGGGAAACGGTGAACTCTTTGTGATGATAAAAGTTTAAATGAGTTCAGTGCAAAAGCAGATGAGAAATTAAGGCAGAGTAAGAAGAGAAAGACAGCAAGGGGAAATATAGAAAGTTACACAGCTGTGGAACAATGTGAGTTCTTAGGGAAAGGATTCGATTCTCTTAAGGCATCGGAAACCTAAAAAAAAAAAAAAAAAAAAAAAAAAAAAAAAAAACTTTAAAAAAAAAATTGAAGCAAAGGAGATTGTTTTGGTAAAACACAGGACCTCTGTTTGCTAGGGCCAAACAACCTAAAATTAAGGGAAAGCTTTCAATTTCCTACTGAGAATGGGCCCATGGCTCAAGAAAACCTTGTTGGTAGGGACACAAATTCTTGTTTTGTATCACAGTTCATTTTCTGATATTTATGTTCATTTTAAACTTACAAATAATTCCCTTATAATCAAAGCCAGTTTGCTGGTACATAAAATTTCTCTCACAAGATTCCTCTTTTGCAAACCTACATTTTTATACATCTGGTTTGCTGCTCTTTGCTTTTCTGTTTTCTTGGTATGAAACAACCTGTCTTCCAATTCTAGAACATGGAAACCTTTCTCTCTTAGCAAAATAAAATAAAACAGAATGAAACACTACAAATAAAGGGTTAATTTTAGTTTTTTTTCTCATCACAAACACATTTTTTCTTATTCAGGAGCATATAGTGGTTTTGCTTTTGTTATTTATAGTAATGTCTATTATGTATTTTGAGCAAAATTTTTAAATCTTAATTACCAATGATATGAGGAAGCTAAATGGTGAAAGAAATTATCACTAAGAGGGTTTATGCTGGTTGCTGCTAAAATCAATTACTTAAAAAAGTGTATATTGGAAATGCCCAGCTGAAACAAGATTCTCAAACTTTAATGTGCAGGTATAATCTAGAGAATATTAGTAAAGTTCAGAGATGAATTCATCTGGAGCCAGGGTAGAGCAAGATTAAATATTTCCTAGAAACTTCAGATGATAGCAAGGATGTTGAACCTTAGCAAGCATGTCAGTGTGTCTTGGTCCTCAGGGTATCAGTGCTCTTGGCTACATATACAATAGGCTAAGAAGATTAGCAATGCTGGCTTTTGGATGCCTCCCTTGGATATTTGGATTTCATTGGTCTGGAAGTAGCCCAGCACCAGTCTTTAGATATTATAATATGCATTCAGGAACCATTGAGTCAAAACAAAAGGACAGAGAATGAAGTCCATATTTGGATGCTGGTCCCTTCTGGTATCCATGGGGCAAGTTCCAGATTCCCAGAACTTCAAAAGTAATAATTTAACTAGAAATAGGTCCTGAGCACTTTCTCAGGGCCAACAACTCTACAGGTGACATAAATTCCCCTATATAATTCAACATGTTAGAGGCAGGAGATCATTGTGATTCCTGTAAACAGATGAGCCTAAACAGACTAAATAACTTGCTCAACACTTCAGAGCAATTCAATTATGCGTAAGGGGTAACAACAGGAAATCTATACAGGAAAGGAAATGGGTAATTATTTTCTCTAAGAAGCTTGATGGGAATAAGCTCACCAGCTTGGGTAGGAATTCAGACAACCCATGGAGGAACTCTAAATACCAGTCAGGCTACCGTGAGAAAAATGAGGAAGGTCATACACCAAGCACCTCTTACGATAATGCAATAATGCGATAATGCGTAGTCAGTCCTCCCTAGTGTAGTGTGTTTAGCCTCTCCCTAGACCCAGCTATCCTGTCGGTTCACCTTCCAGGCGGCAGTGCCAGAGCCACTTTTCCCTAGCTATTTGGGAGAAAGAGTTGCTTCTGAGATGTGCTTAAGTGAAAACAGGATGCAATCTCCCAACAGGGGTCCCCTTGCTCCTCTAAGCCTTTAGCACCTGCTCACTGGAAGGTCTCTGCTTTGGGGCTCAAGGGGACTCTCAGGTGGGATGTCCTCTTTGGGAAGCAGTTTATTAGAAGAGTAATTGAAGTCCACAGAAGCTAAACAACAGCATCTTGTGGGGAGAACTGGTGGGGAGTTCAGGCCCATATGACAAAGCAGGGTCCCATGTTACAGATTATAGAGGAGTGGAGAGGTTCCATGCCACCTGTTGATTACTTGACTAAAGTACAGGATGATTTTTGTTGTTGTTGTTGTTTTAGTTTTTGCTTTCTGATTCCTGCATAGCAGAGAAAGGGAAGGGGTTTGCATTCCAGTGAAGGGATGTGTGACCTTGAGGATGTGGATAACTGGGGAAGAGGACCCAATTTAATTAATGTGCGTCCATCATATAGGGTGTGTTACCAGTAACCCCAGTCTGTTAGCCTGGGACCTGCACATAGAATCAACTGTGAGGTAGCAGTGAGACACAGTTTGGACACTCAATAGCCTGTCCCTTCCTACAGCTTCTCAATGAGCTGCTGGTGGTGGGTACAAACTTGGCTCTGGTGAGGGTGGTGCAGGAGAAGGGGCCTCAGCCTTCACACAACAGGCACAGTGTTTGTTGCCTCACCATCAGTTTCCAGAGTACCTCTGCTCATAAAACAGATTTCATCAGGTAACTACTGAGTAAGAGCCTAAAGAAATTACAACAGAGAGAAAATATTGCTAATTTTATCTCATGTGTGTGGAACAAATGAAATAGGAAATCAAGTCTGGCTGAACAATGCTATGTGATCACCCAATTTAATCCCTACTCAGCATTATAGGGTTGTCCCTTTTGTAATTGCCATTTTACCGATAAGGAAACTGAGGGGAAAGTGATGTACCCTGAGTTTTCTTAGATGATATGAGATTCTGCAAATAAAACTTGGTTAAAAGAATGTGGGACAGAAGACAACTAACAGCAAAATGAAAAATTATAAAAGAAAATAAGTCTTTTAAATCATTATCTCCTCAAGACCAGCAGTTG